AGCCGGCAGCGCCGGGGCGGCAGGAGCAGCCGCTATTTCTGGCCGGGCGGAGGAAAGCCTGCCCGCTGATGAGCTGCGGAGGAATGCGAAGGCAAGCGAGACGACCAGGCTGCTGAGCTGGAGCAGACAGCGATCCCTGAAGGATGGAGCAACTGGATTTCCGCGACGGCCCTACATGGCCTCTGCTTCAGCCCCAGGAAGGGTTCGTATGCCTGACGGCTCGTCAGGTTTTTTCCCGACGGTATCATTGGGTCTAATAAAAGATATTACCTCTTCCTGCAAGCACGGCCACTTATATTCCTCATACACTGCAGACTTGGTCAAACGGAGCCTAGGGCTGCCGTGCCCCGCGCGGGCAGCGGGCGTTCGGCAGAGCTCTCGACTCGCCCAGCAGATCCTCGCAGCCGGGCGCCTGCTCGGGGTAACCTGCCCCTGTGATTAGGAGGGAAGCGGTGACACAGCAGAAAAACCGCTCCGGTGCAGAAAGCGTGTGAAATCGGGCGTCCCGCAGAGCTGGGTGGTGGGGAGGATGGGGTTCAGCTCGGGCTTCGGCAGCAGGTGATTTTTTTTCCCCGTCCCAGCAGAGCAGAAGTGAGAGAATTAAGTTACAGGGCTGGAGCAGGAGACTGGGGTTTGAGAGTGCTGTCTCAGCACCCGCTTTTAGCGGCGGGCTAGGCTGGCAGGCGGATGTAAAATCTCTAACCCTGCCGCGTGGGTTTTGCAAAGACATTCTTGTATTGCAGAACGCAGAACTCATCACCCTGAGGAACATGACTGGGCAGCAAGGGAGGCTGGAAGGAGAGGAGACCAAGGAGAGCGGGAGCTGGGTACACAAATCTTCCCCTGATGCATTTCTGAGTTGATTTGCTGAACTTGGACTAGAGCTGGAGCTGAAAGGCAGTCAATGTTTTTCTGGGCTTTTCTGTTGAAGGATAGCTGAGAATTGTGAGATGGTGAACGAGATGCTTGTGAAAAGGCTTGAGGATGCTCTCAAAACCACAGCTCTGGTTCTCTGCTGGGACACCTTGTTGGCTGCCAGCGTGGCCTGGCCTGAAGCTGGCCAGGACAACCTGCCCATGGGCAGGTCCCGGTGCTCGGGACCCGCGCTCGGTGCTCCCTGGTGCTGCTGCTGGCAGCCGCGCTGCTGCCCTGGGGCTGCTACGTGGCTCGGGAAGCTCTTTTGACGATGTTGGGATTTCTCCTCGTCTTTCCCCATCACCTCGATGGGACCCGTCATGACATGACGGCGGGTCCCCCCGGGGAG